GGAAAATTGAGGTCATATATGGCAAAGTCATAGTTGATCCTGCAGATTGTTAAACAGAAATAAAAGGGAATAATATAAACAGAAACAAAGATTTTATTTCCCAATTCCATATCCGTCTGAATCTCTAAAAACTCTCTTGGGTTCCATGAAAAGGAATCTCCAAAAAGTCTCTTGGGTCCCATTGAAAGTTAGGTTCAGAAAAGTTTCTAGTTGCAAGAAACAATCACCTGGCAAGCGCCAGGTCATGAGTTCAATCTCCATCTCCGGCTCCACAAAAAGGAAAGAACCATGTTCAGGTCTGATTGACTGAATTAACCATCCTCAGTTCTGCTTCTGAACCAGACAGGATACCTGAGGCCACTATTCTACCACCTTTCTGCCCATAACTCAGATCCTTGCTCCTTTTGTCAAAAGTAACTGGAATTTGTTTCACACTAACTCACCAAACTACCAAGAAGATTCTAACATTAACTCTATGAAAGACACATAACAAAGGAAAATACACACAAACCTGAAGGAAGATACAGAATTAAAGAAATCAGCCTTTAGTTTTAAAAGAAATAAAATGTAATCATTATCCACTTAGTTCCACTAACACATGGGTTTTTAAAAAAGTAAACCAACACTATTTGCTAAGAACAGAATAAAAATTATTCCAACAAAACTCAATGTGTCATTGTGCAACATTTCCTTTAACTGATCATATCATTCTATCAATGTTAAAATATTCATGTGCTGCATAATCATGAAGAATACTTATTTCAGATGTCATTTCTCTTTACAGAAATAAGAAAAATTAAGGTTAGAATTTAAGCTCCATAACAGCAAGGACTTCTATCTGTTCTACTTGTCACTCAGCTGAACCTTGTTTAACACATGGAAAGTTCTCAACACATAGCTGAACTCTGCTTTGAAAACTCCTGTCAACTTTGATACTGTGATTTGAGGAACTATTTTCAAGAAAATAGTGTGTAATCTACTAGCAGGTAATTTCTTACTGTTATGGTTTTTTGTTTTGTTTTGTTTTGTTTTGTTTTGTTTTGTAGTTCTGTATTGCGTGTACCCTTACGCCGCTTTGGTTTGTTTTGTGTTTTTCTCTTTTTCCTCTTAAATAAAAAAAAAAAAAAAAAAAAAAAGAAAACTCCTGTCAATATTTGCTCTAAGAATTAATGAATGCATCTCAGAAGAAATTCTGTGTTAATTATATCTATGAGATATACAATGCCATGGAAGGGAAAGTGGCAATATGCAAAGATCAAAATGGCATTCTTCTCACTCTTTTTTGATATGAAGGAAAATGCTTTTAATAAACCGTTGATTAACAAGTTACCACCTTAACCATATGCGTTAATGTAAGTCAGCATGTAGTACTGCATATTGTCTTCTATTATTAAGAGTACATGGGTTAGAAACTAACATTACTGCATCATTTCTCTCCAAGTTCTTCAGCTTTATATTGTGAAGAACTTGGATATTTTCTTTAGCAATTTTCTATTACAAGTAAATATGTATATTAAATCATCAGTATCAAATATTAAAAAAAATTGGTTTTGATTTTGTTTTGTCAGAAGTAAAGTATTTTACTCCTTTTTGCTTACGTTTATATTTCTTCTCATCATATATTAATTACCTATTTCTACCTGTATTGGCTTCAAAACTTGCTACCATTTAAAGACAATGGGGCCTGAAATATGGCCTACCTGCTGAATTACATCTGCCTCTGCCAAATACAACATGATGCCAAAAAGTTTCAAATTTAAGAAGTCAGCTGTCTTAGTCTATTATTTGCTGCTGCAACAAAAACTTCAGACCAGGTGCTTTATAAACAACAGAGGTTCATTTGGCTCATAGTTCTCCAAGAGGGCAGGGTGCTCTGGTGCGAGGATTCCTGTGCTGTAACACAGCAGAGAGCAAGCAAGCATGGTGCGGAGTACGGAGCGGGAACACAAGCTGATCAGCATCCGCCATCTATCAGAAAGCACGACTCACCGGTGTGCTTTTCACAGACTGCTCTAATTGCTGCTTCTGTTTCCTTGGAATTAGCTAATAACTACAAATCAGAGGAAAAATAGGGAGCAACACCTGAGTAAGAAATATTTTCAGGGGGTTAGGAGGAATCAATACTATTGTGAAAGAGAAGTTTAGGGTCAGAATATATCAAAATTTAGTTATTAGGACTTAAAACATTTAAACCGATTTCAGAAATTTACATGTAAATTCCAACAAATTACAAATTTACATTAGGGTCAAACTAGACTAACTTGTGAAAGTGATTTGTTTTAGGTGTCAGCCTAAATTGGCTGATTACACATAACAAAGATTCAAATCTGACACATTGACTATTGAATTACCTTCAGAAAAAGCAAGGAGAAGAGTTGCTTAAGGTACCACAGATTTTAGTCTCTTTAACAGGAAAAATTTCATATTAAAGACTACTCTATTCAGTATTATTCTCTATTAAATCTGGCAGCTCACCTTTGTGCCATATATTTTACAGATTTCCTCATCAATGTACAAATGATGTAACCATTTTAACCCTGAATTTCATGGGTAATAGCAAAAGATAAGATATTTGACTTGTGTTTTATTAGACTGTGTTTACCCACTTGTGTCTACAAGTCTGTTACACTTCAGAAAAACAAGTCCCTGTGGCTGACTTTAAAGTCGTTCCATGTTTAAATTTTAACTGTATTCTACAATATCACTATCCTTTAGGTGGGTAATCTAAAAATTGCACTCAAACCACAATGGCACACTCCCTATTTTTCACTGTACACAAACTTGTACTCTTCCCATTAAATCCTTCAAAAAATTCCTTTCATGAGAAATATGTTCAGATGTAATTATTACAATGTCACTTCCGTCATCTACTACCCTAAAACCTTGGTCAATTTACTCAGGCTCTCTGGTCCTCAGTTTCCATCCGTAAAATTGGAATGATAGTAATACCGACATCATAGGATTATTAAAAATAAATGGTTTAATATTTGTACAGCATTTAGAACAGTGACTAACATTGTTTGTTGTGACTATTATGAAGTATTTTGAATATTACTTTTCACAATTTATATATTTTACACATCATAAAAACAAACATTACTGCTTTCATTGCTATTCAACTTCCATTCAAACCCTTCCTACAGACACATTCACATTGCCAAACAGACAGAACATCCAGTGCACTGCAAATAACACAGTTCTTTAGGTACAAACTTTTACCTGCTCAGGACTAGTTACTGGGGCAGAGACAAAGGCATGTGGTTGAAGTTATTTAAGCAGAAGTAAAATAACCACCAAGTACAAGATAATTTATCTGCTACTTGAACAGTGATATGCTAAAAATTATTTTCAACAAATGCTTTTTAAACATATTTTGAATCTGAAATACTTAAAAATTATCATACAGACCAATCCAGTTATCATGGAAAGATACTTAACTGAATGAAGTTAAGGATAAAAATGTTCTTTGTACCACTCACCTGAAGTACTAAAACGATCCCTTATTTTCACTATTTTGTAAATATCAATCACATCATCATATCACTCAACTTTTCAATTACTTAACAGAAGAATAAATGCCAGACAATATGAGGAGTTATTTTAAAATCTCAACGCCAGTGATGTTAAAGAGAACCTCTCATTTAAAGAAATACTACCACCCTATACTACCACTACAGTCTACACTGAGAGTTCCTCTAAGTTGAGCTCCACATACAGTGTAGTTCACCGCCCTGAAAACTGCAGCCTAGAGTCCAGGGGGTTAGGTTCTTCACAACCATAAGAACAATCTTCCTCATTACTTACAAGTACTGCTAGAAAAATAACATTCAGTTCTTATTAAACAAGCATACTTACTTTTAATCCGTATACTCTGTAATACAAAACTTAGTTTCCTTCATTAAAACTTAACAGCTGCAATGACAAGCACTGATTAAGCCCATTTGTACAGTACTGATAAAGATACCTCACAAGGTTAAAAAACAACAATAATAATAATAATCACTTTTAATCACTGCACAGCAATCTAAATGGCATTCTTACTGTTACCTTTTAAATGCTTCAGCTGGGTTCCTCTCGCATTCCCCAGGCTGTAAGAGGCTCTGGACTGCTGGATCTCTCAGTTTGTCCTCATATCCTTGGAGTAGTCCACTGCGGCAGATCTGGGCAACTAGGCTTCTAATAAACCCTCCAACACACAAAGTATCGGAGTCCTGGGCTTTGCAGAAGTGGAAGGCCAAAGCCTGGCGGTGTAAACCTCTCTGCAAGCTTGTAGGTGAACTTGGCCACAAGAGCTCAGTGCACAGGGCTGTCTTGCCACTACCAGGCCCTCCTATTAACAACACACCCCAGGCCCCTCCCTTTCCAGAGACAGCGCTAGCATTATTCCCAGAATTCATCACAACGGGTGGCGTGTTGACAGCACTGTTGCAGCAGTTTGTTTTCTCCTGGAGGCAATGCTGGAGCTTGTGGAAAACCCACTCCCTACAGTAAAACTGCTTCCCTTGCAGTAAACTTGTTTGGGCCATTTTGCAGACTTTCTCTTCCCAAGGATTGGTCATAATAGGGTTTTTATCTTCAGTGCTTGCTAGACTCTGGATATATCAACACAAGTCATTACATCCATTTGGACATAATTTGCATATTCAGCTGACTTTAAAATGACAAGAGTAACAAGTCACAGTAAAATTCTATAGCCACAGAGTCCATTTGGCAACAGAATGCACATGACTTTATTTGGTTCCATATTCTTGATTAGCAGAGCGCATATCGGATTTAATTGTTGAACTGATGGAAACGAGGCTGGTACCACAGCTCAGCAACACTTTCCCTGTATCCTGATGGGCCATTTTAACTCCATGGCTGTATCTGGAGATTATGTGATTGTAGATGTTTCAAGCACATAGATGAGACAATACATCTGGAAACTAAAGAGAAAGCCCAATCTTTCAATTAACACAAAAATACTTTTCCAGATTCCAAGTGTTAATGCTGTATCTAAAATGCAGATGCAGAAGGTCTGCCCGTTATCTTAAATGTCATCAAAGAGAATACATATTTATACAGTACTTGGGTAGCTCTGTGTTTTTGTTGAAGGACATCAGTAACTGTACTAATTCTTGCCAGTTTCATGCATCTGGGCAACTGCCAGGAACTGTTTCAGATTATAGCCTCTTATATGGCAGAAATGATAAACCACTGTTAACACCTGCTTAGTTCAAAGCATTCAGAAAATGCATTTTTCAAGACAGCAGGTTCTTAATAAACCTGTTCACGGCTTCTCTGACACTACGATGTCCAAGTAATCACCAATTTCGGTAAGTAACTAAAACAAGCAAAAAATATCTTAGTAGTACGTATGACACGTTAAACGTGTATTTATCAAAGGACGCAATTCATCAATTAAAGTAATCTCAAAAGTCCACATACTTCATCTCTGGCACTTTCAAAAAGTTGGACCATTACTCCAAAATTAATTCATTTTCCTCTTTGTATTTTTCTTCCTCTACCGTTATGTTTCCGAAACAGACAAATCTTAACCAAGTTAAACTTAATTTTTAAAACCTCGCTGTGGAAAGGGGAGAAAAAGGATACTTTATGGACAGAGAGTATCATCCTTAATTCCAGCCAAAAAGCTCTTTCCAACTGGCTTGGCAGAACAGCGCCACTAAGAAGCCCTATTAACTTGCACAGTCCAGTCAGTCAGTCAAGGACTCTGTCTACTTGACTAGCCCACACTTCTTTGTTGATAGTTTGCAAAATCTCGGGAAAGAATATCAGGGTTGCGCCTGGATAGGAACGGGTTAAAAAAAATAAGGGACAAGGGTACGATTACTCTTACATGGTTATATGAACGCTAAATCAAAAACAAGTAAAAGTGGATCATTCCTTTCTCTGAATCAAGGACGGAGGTTCTTGATTCAGGCACAGACACCCCACTTGAGCCGGAAGAAAGGTTGCTGGGGAGAGAGTTCTCCCGAGGCTGCAAAGGGACAGGAGTAGTGCGCTTCAGTGATAGTGGGTGTCTGCCTACAATTCCGGCCTCGGCTTGCAGCTGAGAGACAAAAGGAACTCCGGGATCCCCGGCGCCGGGAAGCACCCAGGGTCCGAGGCACCCCAACGAGCCACAGGAGGGCCACCTCGGGGCGGCCGCGAGCGAAGACGCAGCGGGCGCCGAGGTCGGCGCTCCCCTAGTCCGGGGCGCCCGCACCCGCCCGCCGAGCCTGGGGTGTGTCTGGTAGGGGGAGGGGGAGCCCGAGGTCCCCGCCGGTGCCGGGCAGGGGGTCGCCACCCGAGCGGGGTCCCGCGCCGCGCCCCTACCCTGTCGGGCTCCCGCGCCCACCCACTCTGCTGAGCGAGGCACAGGTCCGGGCTGCAGGGTGGGAGGGCGGCTGGGGTCCGCGCCCAGCTGCAGCCCGAGCTCCCGACCTGAGGCAGGGCCTCGTTCCGCCGCCGCCGCCGCCGCCAACCCCGTTACCTCGGTACGGGCGCTTGCTCCGCCGAGAAGCCGCCGCCAGCAGCCGCTCCCGCGGCCGCCCTGCAGCCGCCTCTTCCGCCCGTCCTGGGGCTCGCTCCCAGCTCCAGATCCGCCTCCTGCCTCCCGGCGACTGCCAGCTCCAGCAGCCCCGGCCGAGCCCCTCCCCGCCCCCACCGGCCAACCTCCGCCGCCGCTGCCGCCGCCGTCAGGCAGGGACTGTGTCCGCCGCCTGCCTGGCGGCTCCGCCCGCCTCCGGCTCCTCCCTCATTCCCGCCCCCCGCCTTTCTCAGCCAGCGGCCCCGCCCAGGCCCCGCCCAGGCCCCGCCCCCACCGCAGCTCCGGGAGCCCGTGCAGGGGTCTGGGCGTGGGCGGCCTCGGGCACCCCGGGCCTCCAGGCGTGGGCTCGGGCCTGGGGCCTCCGTGGGCTCCGCCTTTCTCAGGGGAGGCGGGGGACTGGGCGGGGGCTGCGTCCTCGCGTCCCCGAGCTGTCGCGAGTCGCTGCCCCCACCTCGCCGTCGCTTCTCGGCCGGAGCCTTCCTTTGTCTTCGCGGGCCGGGGAGGACGAGTGCCGGGAGTCGGGCCAGCGCCTGCCCCGCCCTCGCCGTCCCGCGCCTCGCCCGGCCCGGGGGACTCGGGGATGCTGCTGCTTGTCAGCCCGCAGTCAGCGGCGGCGCGACGCGGGAGAGAACGCGGGGCGCGCGGCCGGGGACTGCGGCCGGGACGCTCCGTGCATCCGGGCTGAGGCGGCGTGAGAACCGCGGAGCCCGCGTTATTGTTATGGTGTATGTTGAAGTGGGGCGCGCTGTGGCGCCCGTTCTTTACACAGGCGCGTGTCTGTTCCCCAACACAGTAGCCAGTCTCGCATCAGGTTTGCGGGATTTTAAGTTGCAGCTCTCATACCTGACTAGAAGCAGAGTTGAACAAATAGATGGCGTTTGTGTATAGGCTTCTGTGTTTATTGGTTAGCGTTGAAGCTTGCTGATCTGACTTAGCTCTGATTTTATTCAGGTACCCTGAATCTTGAGGTTCTGTCCCCAAAACACAAGCAAAAATGGCAGGAGTGTAAGTTTTTCCGAATCAGATGAAGCTCAAAAAGGTACCATTTGACTTTTCACTTAGTTTTAGTTATGCGTCTACATTTAGCATTGAATGAGCCACTCCAGTTTTACAGTTGTAAAGTTGTAAATTTTTAAACAAGGACAATGTACGTCACATTATTCTCATCAAGCCACTTGCTAATATGATAATTAAGATGATTTCTGCCTGGTAAGGAAGGGACAGAAAGTTTTGCTTTTGTGGGTCTTTTCTAAAATGGTAAACCGCTGTTTTCAATAATAGCTATAACCAAGCAGTAAATATTTAGAATTGTAGGTTTTCATTTTAAAATTTATTTGAAATAGTTTTTATAGTTTTTTGCGTTTCTGAATGGAAAACTTTTATCAACTATATGTACATTTATAAAATTTCCTTCTATCAAGTATTTCATACTAAAAAAATTATTAACATAAGTGATGTACTTACTCTTGGCACAAATTCACATTGTTTAATCAGTTTCTCAGCCATTCTTTCCCTTATAAAAGATGGTGTCATTTTTCTAAAGAAAGCAATATTTTTCAAAATGCTTTTTATTTTGTTCTTGTATTTTTTTCTGAAATCGATTTCACAGCTCATAATTTTGAAATTACTGACAACTAATCCTCTATAGATTATATTTTAAAATATCTTGACAAATTTCTGTATTAGTAGTGAAATGCCTATTAGTATCAAAGCAAATAATTACATATATTCTTGGGCCGAGGATTTAGCTCAGCCCAAGCACCTGCATGGCTAGCATGAGGGCATGAGATCAATCCTGGAACTAAATAAAGTAAAATAAAATATATCCTTAGTTCTAATTTTCTTATGCTGAAAATTACAAAATTTGCAGTTCTAATCTTTTCCTAGATGTTATTTTTAACCTTGCTTGTGGTTAAATGCTTGAACAAATACTTTTTATAAGATAAAGCCCAACATACAAACTTGTACTTTTTAACTTAGATGGTTTAAGCCAATTTTTAGAATTCTAATTATGCATTTTCTCAATTTTAATCCCTTTGATAATACAATTTTATCCAATTAGAAACAGCAGATTCTATCCTTAATTGAGGTGTTTTTAAAGCACAGTTGTAAATTTCATTGTCTTGCTGGACCAAGAGGAAGTTCAGGGTTTTTTGTTTTGTTTTCTTCTTTTTCTCCCCCCCCCCCCATTGTCTTTTTGAGTCAGAGTTTCCCTATATAGTTGGGTCTGGCCTTGCATTCACTTTGGTCAGGCTGCTCAGGGTGGCCTCCAGCTTGGAGGGATCCTTCTGCCTCTGCCTAGTGCTGGGATTGTAAGCATGTGCAATCACACTCAATAAAGTTTTTTCACATTTGTTAGCCTTATTTTCAGTCATTTTGCTATCTAATTGCTGTAAAAATTCAAATGATTTTAAACCAAAGATGTGAAAATGTGGAGGACGCATTTTAATCCTATAATTTAAATAGTATAGGTCTCGTGGGTTTACTTACAAAGTAATACATTAAAAGTTAATACCAACTGTCTTTCAGATTATGTTACAAATTTAAAGAACTCCATTCACTGACAACCTACTTTTCACAACCTCTATTTCACGTATTTTAGATACACCTCACCTTTATCGCTGACTCCCAAAAAGTGGCAACTTGATGGGGTCACGTATCTGGAAGGTGGCAGGAGAGTCTGGGCTAGTGCCCCAAAAGTCTAGCAGCATAAGCTCCCTCAAAGTTTCTGTGATTTCTACCAAGCTTGGCGGTGCTGTGAGTGTGCCTGTATGTGTGGGAATGTCTAACCACTCATAGCAAGCCGAATTTTGTGTTTTTAGCTAGCACCCTGTACACTATCCTTAAAAGGAAGGGGATAGTTGCTTTGAATCTGGAAAGGGCCAGGAAAAAAGTTATTACTGGCAACCTTTCAGACTTCCCCACAAATGTCAAGAACTCTGTCCATGTCATCTCAAATACTATTAGACCTGGCAGAAGCTGGAAATAAAACAATAAAGGTCTATCCAACCTAACTCAAATTATTTAAATGTACTTTTAATAAAAGTATTTTTTATACAAACATGTGCTATGTTAGTTATGTTGATTGGACTTGATGGAAACTGAGACCATAGAGAAGATTTGACTGACCTAGTAAGTATAATGATGAGAACAACAGTTGTGGTTACTCCCATAAATAGCCTTTTAAAAGGATGCTTATTTAAGCTTTACCTTGTAAAAGAACTTGTTGCCAGCTATATTCAGCCTGTTCTGGAGAACATACTTAAAAATAGATTTTGCTTACAAAATGTATAAAATATGGGGCCTTCCTTCAAAGAATTAGGCCCAGATTAAGATTTATTTTGTAAAAGTACTAGCCAAAGACTGTGCAACCTTGATAGCTATTTTTATTAACTGGCTGGTTACAAGTCACTGGTCACCTTTGTTTTGTAGGTTCCACCCCGGAGCAACAGCTCTTAGCAGACCCTAAATGATGCTTACAGTACACATGGCAGCATGAATCTCAAATTCATATTCTTGTCGATACTTCTTGTACTCTGCAAGGCATTTAAAAAAGCAAATTAAGCTCTCCAAACTCTGTCTACCCATTGGATTCTCATAGCTGGTTTTTTCCTCCCTTTCTTCTGCAGCTTTGAATGCAGTTTAAGTGACTATCTCCTGCCAACCACAGAGTCATCCTTCCCTTTATGTCATCTGTTATCCTGATACATGCCAGCCACAAGTATTTAAAAGTATTCATGGGAACAGCTGCGACTGACTTAGTAATAAGGTGTATTCCTGACTCCTATATCAATTTGGTCATATATATATTAACAATAACTCTGTATCATTATTCTAATTTAAAACTAAGGCATCCCTTCTCAGTCTTTTGGCTAAGATCAAGTGTATAAACTAACGCTAAGTGTCATGTAAGAAGGTGAACTTTCAGGAATTGTATTATATCCACTCTGCATTACCATTAGATAAACTAATCACTTGATTTGTTGCACGTAATTTACTCACCTGACAGGTTCCCAAGTGACTGAAAGATACTGTTTTATATTTGTCCTCAGGCTTTCTGCTCTTCTAAAACCACACCTTATTTTTTTTTTTTTTTTCTTTTTCTAAGTCTCTGTTACTTGCTAAGCCAGCACATCTTGGCATTGGAACATAGCTCCTGTTAATTTGGAAGCTTTAATATGGTGTACTAGAAAGCACAAGAATAAACTGAACAAAGAGAAATTTCCCTAAGGTCTCAGAGGCTCCTGTGAGACCCACACTTCCCATCCTACACACGTTGTCAGGGAACTCCATCATGGCATTGTTGGAGTGACAGGCAGACAGACACAAGGCCTAGGGCAGATTGCTAAATCTTCAGAAAGTTTCATTTTTTTTTTAGGCAAAGTTTTCTTTTTTTGCTTACAAAATGTATAAAATATAGGGCCTTCCTTTATTGGGATCAAACTTATGACCTGGTGCTTACCAGGCAAGCACTTGAGCCACTGAGCTAAATCCCCAGCCTTTGCTTTGTTTTTTAAAACAGACTGGGTATTAAATGGCCAGCAGGAAGTAATTCATAATTTTTCTTGTTCATTTTGTCTCAGTGCCTACATTTCTTGCTAGCACACTCAGCCTAATATCTTTCCTTTGTATTATTAAAACTGTTTACTTTCATTTAATTTTTGACTAATTTGCTTCTGTGTGTAAAAATTCTTCTGATTGAAAATGCAACTGAAATCTCAAGTCTACACTGAACTGGATATAGAGCATCATATGCTGAGTATTTGAAACACAGTGCCCTGTCAAAGGTGACTTCTACACTAGAAACATTAAAAATATCACCCTACAATTGTCTTCTAAAAAGTATCCATATAGATTTCCACATTCTTGAAAAAGGAAGCAACATTTTAATGCTTTTTTTTTTTTTTTTTTTTTTTTAATCCAACTAGGTACCTAAGTACAGTAGGGAGACTCCAAAGCTGCCATCAATGAACTATGCTTCCTGGATCTCGTGTCTTTAAGTAGTCACCTTGTGTTGCATCTTGTTGGCCTGAGACATTAGAATGTGGCAGAGGTGACAGCATGTGGACTCCATGCCTAGATTTGAGGATGATTGCTCTCTTCTGTGTCCTAATGTGTAATGCTCACTGTCCGGAACTATCATTAGAGGAGTCTGGCAATCTAGCCTAAAAGGCCACCCAGCGTGACCACACAAGGAAGCCACAGGCACAGGACCTGAGACCATAAGGAGAAGCAGAGTGGCACAAACAGCAGCATTTCGGAGGATGGTGGGGTCCTGGGATTTTTCCAGCCCCAGCCACAGTTAGCTGCAGCTTTATGAAGAGCCCGAAGTGAGAACATAAAGGAATGCTCCCAGCCAGGCCAGGGGAAGCACAGCCACAGGAGGGCTATCTAAACAACTGCTGTTTTAAGGCTGTGATAGGCCTGATTTGCTGCACAGTGATAAGTAATTTAAACACCATCTGCTGGAAACAAGTCCTCTAGTGTTCCACAAATACAAGCTGAACATCTCTAATCCAGAAATCTGAAATGCTCCAACTGAAAAATTTTTGAATGCTGGCCTGAAATCACAAGTGGAAAATCCCACCTCTGACCTCAGGGGATGGGCCATGGCAAAATGTGGGAGCACTATAAATATTGTGCAAAATTACTTTCAGATTCTGTGTATAAAGTGCACATGAAACATAAGGCATAAATGAGTTCTGTGTTTACATTGGTTCCCATCTTCAAAATATCTCATTAAGTATAAGAAAATATTCCAAAATCTAAAAATAAAAACAAATGCAAACTCCAAAGCACTTCTAATCCCAAGCAATTTGGATGAGGGATACTCATCCTGGGCTATATTTAACTTTATATCCCGTTCCTCGTTTGTTTTCTTGGGCAAGTGATATGGCTCTGGAGAACTGAATAAAATGCTGTGTATATCATTTCCATTTTCTTTGTTGCATACACTACCCATTTGACATAGAGAAACAGGATAAAAGGTAAAGAAAGTTTTTAAGTCATATAGGCTTAATGAGAATTTATATTTATTTCCAAGTGTCATTTTTCTCCACTTCACATTCCTAATGCATTAGAAACCTTTAGTCAGTTAGGAAGCCTTTACTGTAGCTGAGCAGGCACTCGTACGATCTTTCCATTGTAGAAAACCATCTGGTTGCAGCATCAAGTTTCCTAGTAATGATAATTTTACATATAACTGTCACATTCAGCAGAGCAGCATTGCGGAATCTAAATCAGAAGTACATTATCTCAATAGCATTTATTTAAATTCTGATTGCCTAGAGTTTATAACTACTTCAAATATTTAAAAAGGAAATAGAAACCTCCACATTTTATTCATTTTATTGCTTACCATTTACCTTAAGGAAAAATGTTTTGCTAGATGATTCTATATTTGTTAAGAATACATTATAAAGAGATTTATACAAATAAATAAAAGACACATACAAACTTTCAGTGGTTCAAATGAACAAACTCATTAATATATTTAAAACTTCCTTTTTAACATTTATGTTTAAAACATAAAAAAAACCCAGAGCTTAAAGATCTTACTTTGTTTAAAAAATAAATTTATTGTGGAACTGGAGACTGAGGCCAGGGTCTTCACACTGAGCTTCATTCCCAGGTCTATTTTGTTTTTTCATTTGGAAACTGGATTTTCCTAAATCACTCAATTGCTCAGGCTGGACTTACACCCATGCTCCTCTGTCCCTGTCCTCAAGAGTGCTGCCATCACACTCAGCTCCAAGGCTCTAATGATGAGTACCAACCTTTGTGTGATACTGTCACCTAATGTATCATTACAATCTCAAAAAGACAGAGTGATGGTTCATCATGATTGTACTGAGAAGTCTAAGACATTAGTGAAACACACTTCTGGGTGCTTCTGCTAGTGTTTCCAGGAAAGAATGCAGGACAGCAAGCAGTGGAGGAACCCGCCCTCAGTGTGAGAGGTGCAACCCAAAAGCAGGGAGACAGGCTGGAACGAAAGCCAGGGAAGGGGGAAGCCAGCCAGCACAGGCTCGCTTGCCCTCTCTTGTTTCCCTCTGCTTCCTAGCTGCCAGGAGAGGAGCAGCTTTCTTTCACCACCCCATTTGGCCGTGACGCCTGGCCCCGCAGCTGGCCAACCCTGATCAGAAACTGTGAGCCAAAATAAACTTCTTCCTCTCCTAAGTTGTTTTTCTCAGATGTTTGGTCACAGTGCTAAAAAGTTAGCACAGATGATAATAAAGCTAAATATTTTTCAGTCACACTATGTCATGTACACGTGACACAGTGTCACACTTTGAGACGTACACTTAGGAAAAAAACTATATATGAGGAATTCTTTTTATTAAGGGTCTACATGATGTGTGGAGAAAGCATGGCTTGGAGATGTTTCAGCATGGAGTACATCTGAGAAACAGCATTGCCTACAAAGGTGGAATCATAATTTAAATGTTAGGGATTTCATGCCTGTAAGATAGTGTAATCTTAGTCATATAGCAGCACAGGCTGTGGACTGCACAATTGCAGGTGACACTATTTAAATCAGCTTGATGTGTTCACAGGGACTAAAATGTAGTAAGATATCCTGTTTGACTTTGTGAAACAAAACCCTAAAGCAATGGTGAGATAAATCTGAAGTCTGTTTCCCCTCCTTTCTAGGGACTGAACCAAAGGCCTTAGCACTGAAATATATCCTTAGCTCTTTTTTTTTTTTCGTTTGAGACTGGTTCTCACTATGTAATAATACAGGTGGCTGGCCTTGATCTTGCTTATGTAGCTCAGGATGGCCTTAAAGTCACAGTGATCCTCCTGCCTCAGCCTCCCAAGTGCTGGAATTATAGGCATGTGCCACTGTGCTTTGCTAAGCTCCTGTAAATAACTACTTTTTTAAAATTTGTAGACATGGTCTGGGTTCTAGAGTGCCACTAGAAAACATCCATCTATCTTTCCCTCTGCCAACCTGATTGTGTCAATTTCATCTTCATTGTGACCTCTTTGTGTGTTGACAGACCTGTTCCAGGTTGCCTATGGTTGTCCCTGTTTTAAAATGAAAGGTAGATGTGGAGGAAATTCCCGAGTGCTTGATCATCCAGGACAGCCTGTCTCAAAGTGGTGTCCTACTGCCTGTTAGTGACTCTTAGCTGTTAGTGACTCAAAGATCAGGGAAGAAGAATGCGAAGTAGGAAGCAGCACCTATGTTAGGACAGTACAACTTTTCTAGTAATTCTCAGCACAATTACATCTCCATCTAAGTCTTCAGAACCATGCAAGACAGGCAGGGAAGTAGACTGCATTAGCCAGACTCATGACTGCCCTATAACAGTCACGGTTCGGTGGGTAAGAAGAGAATAAAGCTCCTTAGGAACACAATTATAAATGTCTGCATAATTCTGTAGCTTTCTGTAACACTGCTCAGCTACTCTGGAGCAGAAATAGGGAAAGCAGACCACAGGGGCAAACTGGGGCTGGACACTGTCAGAGAAAGAACATCAGAAGGCTGAGGAAACCCGTCATTTTGGTATATGCTTGAGGTTATAGAGAATGCAGTAAAACCAGGAAAGGGTGATAAACGATAGAAGGACCATGAACTTGGAATAAAGTGTCAAGATTCTTTTTAGGTCTTGGAGAAAAAGTCTACTTGAGAAAGTCAAAGGAGGTAAATTAATTTTACCGTCTCTTGGCGCATGGGAACATTATTTGTCTTCAATACTCATTGAGCAGTGTGGGTTTGTTCATTTTAACTTTCTAAACTTGGAAAAGAAAAATCTTATTTAAAATTTGTATCAGAATTATCTGTGGCATTCCTGTTACATTGAAAATAAATCAATAAAGAAATGAAAAAGAAATCTGATAAAAACAGATGGCAATTTGATAACTGAAGGATTTATCTTGGTGAAAGTGTGTGTGTAAAATTAAGCCAAATATTTTAATGTAGCATGCATATTTGAATAGATTGTAGGTCAAAAAACAAAGTGACAGCTAAATTGGAAGCACTATTTTTCATTTAAATCAGAGCATATTTAAAGTAATATTGTATGCATTTATTCACCAGTAATAAATAGTGGTATAAGAATCTTTATGTAGGAAATAATATTTATATATACATTTTAATTGTCTGTAGCACAGTAGAGAGGATAGTGAAATCTACAAGTATTGACATTTATATATGTGCCCTTTAAAGAATGAGTAAAACACAGCAAGCCTGGAATTATTTAAGTTTTCTTCCACGAAGAAAAAAAGTAGACTTATAGACTAACATTACAAGCTAGTTGATATGGGGATTTTCAAATTCCATAGTGAAATATAAAACAACCCTCTCGGAGAGTTATTGGGTAGTTCCTTTAGGAATGGCTCACCAAAAATGTTATCAAGTAGTTCCCTTAGGAATGGCCCATCAATTAAACATCCCAAGTCGCTCTTGCCTCAAACAAAGAATTGAAGGAGAGAAGCCAAAAATGATGCCAAAAGTTTCTGTGAAAAATGAAGGGTGAAAGGGTAAGGGAGAAACTGGTTCCACAGAGCAAACTTGGGCCAAGCAAAAAAGGAAAAGAGAAAAAGGGTGATCAGGGTGAACTACCATGAGAGAGACACAATGGCATGTTCCCTCGGCCTCCGGTCTCTTTTCTGCAGTCCACACTTCCTGAGAACCTCAGAGGAGGTCTACAGAAGAGGTCCCGAGAAGTATTTGGTACTGCCTTGGGATCTTGTACTTACCAGGTCCTCCTGTTCCCTTGGCCAGCTTTGCCATGTCCTGCCTCCTATCTCAGGAGCAAATAACATGAATTTGATTTTCCAAGTTTGGACCTCATTTGGATTAAATATTAACTATTAAATATTAATTATTTCCCTTCACTATTATGCTTAGCATGTGACACAGGGCAGAGAAAATATAAATATAGAAAAGATGATATACATTTTCAAGTCAAAACATGATGAACATGAAGTAATCAAATTTTCAGAGGGACAATTCTACATTACAAGAACTTTTAAAACTCCAAATCATAGAGTTAGGGATGTACCTTGGTGTCAGAATGCGTGAGATCCTGGGTTTGATTCTCAATCAACAAGACTCAATCAAACAAATTATCCCCTCCAACTTGGAAAGTTTCTATAGTTATATAACGGTGAAGAAATACCACTGACAGCTTAAGAATTTGGAGTAAAACAAAATAACTAAGTAAGACTTTTCCTGGTTTCAAACAAAGCAATTACTGTAGTAGCCAACAGGTAAGACCTGCATTCTTGTTTGGATTCTGTATCGCAGGTAACTCTTGCAAAATCAAGAAAAAGGAGAAGTCAGGTAATTATAGGATAGAATAAATTTTACCTGCAAAATTGGCTATCCCTGAGACATTCAAGCCTGTAAACTCTTACACTGTGAAAAGAATTCTGTAAGTTTTAACTTCTTTAAAGGTTAAAAAAACCTATTTGTAAGTTCTATATGGTGAAATTATTACAAAATATTAAATTATAGAAATACTTTGAGAAAACATTTTTAAAATGTGTATAATATGAACTTTGACTCATGGAGTAGAAAAATATCATTAAAATGTTGGTTTAAAAAAATCTCTTTTTTTATCATTTTGTTCTAAAATCCTCTGTAGTAAAGGAAAAAGTTTTTAAGGACTTCCTCCCCCCCCCCCCCGCCTGCATCAGCTTTGTGTGGAGTAGTACATTTTTGTTTCCTTAACTTAAAGATTAGTGGCTTAGAACAATGCTGTTACTGTTTCTCACACTGCTGTGCACTGACTGGGTAGTTCCGTGGGCCTCACCTGTGCTTGGTCAGGTAGGGTGGTCAGGGTCATATAGATGCATCCATCAGATGTCGTTATAGTGTGGCTGTGGCTGGGGTAGTGGAGTGTGGAGTCTCTGAGCCTTTTCCCCATGGCTTCTTCATTACGAGGTGATCCCCAGTTTTATGACAGTGAGAAACAAAACAGAACAAAACAAAATAAAACAAAACAAAGCAAAACTCTCTAAAGCCTCTGAAAATCCATGGTCTGGAGTTCATTACCTCTGCTTTATCTCCCATGTCAAGGCAACTTCCAAGGACACATGAGGAATAGATTCTACCTGTTGGTAGGATCAGGTACAAAAATTAAAAACCACAAATGGAAACCTTTGAACATTTGACAAGTAATGTGAAATGTCCATCAGAAAAAAACAAATATTACACTGATTCTGTGTCAATTTTAAAGAAATTATGCTCATCTATGATATAGGACCTCAGAATTAAAAGTCTAATTTAAACAGCTTCTATTTTATGAATTAAATTGAATGAATTACTTAATATGAATAAATAGTAACTCTAAAAACACAGATAAAAATGTATGCTTGTCTGTACTGATTTTTTTTTCAGGATTAGACCCTTGTTAAAATTATGTTTAACTCAAGAAAATATGATTTTGAAATCAAGGCTGAGAAAATTCAAAGTACAATAAAATGATAATAATTTCTTTTCTAGTTTTATAACTGGCTTTAATTTTAATCAATTTGACACTCTATTTCTGATTAAATTCTTTTAAACTAAGAAGTTTAAAAGCCACAGTTTTTTTTTAAATTTTCTTTGATCATTTATGGTTGAATAGGTTTAACTGAAAAGCAGTTTTTGCTTAATTAATATTGTTTAAAAAATTAAATAATGTGTGGAAACATATGAATACTTTTCAAAAATAATTGAATAATTGCTATGTTCTCAAGGTAATTTTTTATTTGATATAATCTTTGTAGCGTGAGCAAGTATAATACATGGCAGTTTAACTTGGCTAAGTTTCAAGTAAAGTGAAAAGAGAATGTTATTATTTCTTGTGCCTTTCTTATGATGCATTCATTATTTGCTTCCAAAAGAATTTTAAAATGTCACACATGTAAGTGCCTGGCATGATAGTCTGTAATCTGTGATTGATAAGATAAAAACAAACCTCTCAGATATTAAAGAAACCTTCATATTGTTCTTGTGCTTTACAAGAAGGAGGTGCTGCCATTCGATAACGAGAGCTAGAGACTGCAGCGGGGGGAAACAGCATAACCAAAGTGTGCTCCAACGCCAAAGCAGAAAGGATTCTTGAAAAGTTCATTGCAGGGAGGTTCTGTCAGAGTGAGAGTTCACATTTTCACCAAGAAAAATTGAAAAAAAATCCAGTTCACGCCATGTGATTTGGCTAAACCTAACCAGAATGATGATTTTCATGGAGAATATTTTTTGTTCTGTTCTGTTTTAGATACAAAGTAATTCTAAGCAGAAGGAATGCTGTTTCTGGCTTTCAGAGTAGAGAAGACCCTGTGGAAGGATTGGAGAATGGCAGCAAGCGCCGAGGAGGAGTGTTTCCTGGCAAAATACAGCATGGAAACCCTAGTTCTGCAACTGCAAGAAAGCAAATTCTGCCAGGAGGAGGAAACTCTGCCGGAGGAGGAACTCAGGCTCCAGAGGAAACGCAGCCCAGAGGCTGTAACAACTCAATTTTGACTTCTTGATACCTTGTGCATAGAGCTTACCTGAGACTGACTGACTTGTGTACAGAGACTGCAAGGTAATGAGTGGATAATGTTTATAGCTCCCATGTTTGTGATAATTGATTTTGTAGCAACAGAAAACTAATACTAATTTTGATTACATGGGTATTACTGTAACAAATCCTCAAAAGATGTGAAAAAGGTTTTGAGTCTGGTAATAAACTAATGCTATTAGAACTACGAGAGTAATGGAAAAGACCTAGATTGCTTTGGAACGACTGAGAAATGCAGTCACTAAAAATGCTGTTGGTCTGGGCTCAGCAGGAAGTGAGGAAATGTTATTGGAGCTGGAGGAAGGAAGGTCCTTGTCAGGTAGCGTCAGGAAGCAGGGGAAAATTGTTTCAGGGGTTATTTATAAAGCAGATTTTGTAATTGTTGAACCTGAATGCTGCGGAGATTTCTAAGCAATGTGGTGAAGGAGAAGCCTGGCATCTTTCTTTTCATAATAAAAATTGAGAAGAGGCATGAATTGAAAAAAAGAATTGTTGGGTGAAAAGAACCATGATTGGTTGATATGGGCAGTCTCAGCCTACATACAGAAGTAGAAAGTGCTAAAATTCAGAGATCGCTTCTGAAAGTGTAGCACAGACAAACAACTAACATGTGGCTGGCTGTGCAGCTTCTGACTCAAATTTAGAAAGACCCAGATGTTGTAGTATGCAGAGTTAGAGATAAAAGTATGCCTCCTCTCCTAGATCTCAGTCAAACCAGGGAGTCTCTAAAGAGATTTGTTGGCGTTGTCCCTCAGCCAGTCCAGAACAAGCCAAACATGGAGAAGGAATTTTCTCAGAAAAATCTATGAACAACTTTTTTGTTTCATGAAGTGAATTCTATGAAATCCAACCAAAGCCCACATGATACTTGGGAATATTGCATCAGTAGGAGACCTGACAGCTGCAAGCGAAAGGGACCTAGCTTTAATAAAATCAGAAGAGGCTCTCAGATCCTTCAAGTTCTCTTGGCAGGAAGTGGGAGTTGACAAACCTCCTCAGCTACTAACACAAGCTACCTTTCATGCAAACAGCCAGATGACTCAGAGCTAAGATCCCAGAAGACGGAGATGAAAGCCACAAAGGATATTCCCAAAGCTTAGAAACGTGACAGAGTTTTCCCAGCTGGATTTAAAGCTGTTTCAATTTTCCCCACTTTTGAATGAGAGTATTTATAACGGGATCAGTTTTCTATTGCTATGTAAAAAATTACCACAAATGTAGTGACTCAAAATAACAGAAATTTATTGTCTCACAGTTCTCTGGGTCAAAAGTGTGCTATGGTGCATCTGTATTCTCTTCCTAGGGTCCAAAGGCAGCACTGAGATACTCACCAGGTTGTGCTCTTGGATTCAGACTCCAAAGAAGTCTAGGCTTAGTCAGTTTCTTTCCTTTTTTTGTTTCTTTGCAGCTCCTTTGAAGTGCCATGACCTTGCTGCTGACAGCAGGCAATCAGTTCTATTTTCTAAAGACCACTTACATTCCTTTGCATGAGTGCCTTTCCTTCATCACAGCCACCAGTCACCCTGAGAAATCTTCATGCTTTTGGGTCTTTTGCTTGATTGCAAATTTTGCGTTGGTATTTGAGTGTATGAGATTGTTTTAGTTGTGGACAAGAAGGACTTTAACAATTTCGATGATACATATGAATATGTCTTCTCAGTTAGAGTTAAGACCATAAACCCATATGTGTCTGCAGGAATAGCATGATTTTACTTTTCTCGTCTTACAGATATACTTTCTTTTACATTAATTCTGAAATGTATTGATGTCTATTTTGCATTAATATCTGAAATGTATCGATGAAATTAAACGGCATGTAATGAGTGGCGCTCCTTTTTTTGTTTTGGCCCTTGAAATACAACTTTTAAATTCTCTGAGGCAAGACCTACAGAAGACTAGAAACCCAGATATTAACTTTCCTATGCTAACGTAGAACAAATCAATTAAATTATCAAGCTCATTTTTATCATAATGATTATTTTCTTAGTAAAAGTCCTGAGAGGGGAAAATGCATTGCTAAATATATTCAAACAACATATTACTAAGTATTAGCTTACCGCTGCCGAAAATGGCCTCAATCTAATAGTAGTCATCACACTTTTAGAGTGACATGACCTATGAGTTTTTCATAATTGTCTCATTTTTATTCTCTGCCTCTGATATACTTAAGATATGCACCTGCAATTTCCCGGAATGCTTCATATTTCCCATGCCTCTTCACAATTTTACTTTCACCTGAACTGCAATTTAATTTGCCAACCTTTTCATCCGTACTTTTCATGTTTAGCAATCAAATCACTAAACATCTGATACCCCAAGTAACAGTAGCTATACTTCTCGATTTTTGCCTTTTCCACAATTCATCTGTTGAAAACCCATTTTCCACTGCAACTGTGTTTGGAGATATGCTCTATGAGAAGGCAATAAAATTTAAGTGAGTTCTTTAAGGTGGCCCTAATCTAACAGGACTAGTGCCCTTAATCTTCAAAGAAGATATACAAGGAGTGTGCTTGCATAGAGGAAAGGTCAAGAGAGAACACAATAAGAAAGCAGTCATTTACAGTAAAGAAGAAAGGCCTTATCAAGACTCAGCCCCACTGGTACCTTGACTGTACCTTGGCTTCCATCCTGGAGAATCATAAGAAAATACGTGTCTGTTGTTTGTACCACCCAGTCAGTGATATTCTATGATGGGAGGCCTGGTAGGTTCAGTGCTTGTATAACTGTTCATACAGGGGTTATCAGTTTTTGTTTTTGTTTTTTCTCAAAGTGAAGCAAAAACTGAACAATATCAATATGCACTGAAAAGTACAACTAGAACTGCGACCATGTAATTTTTCACTTCTGTCCTTCATTTTGAATTTCTGGATCTATTAGGCCCAGTTTAGTGTCTCCAACTCCTCACTTGCCATTTTGACTGAAGTTGCTTACTAATTTTTACCTTTACATCCCTGTCAAAACTCATTTTCATTCATGTCAATAACAACCTAATGTGCCATTCTTGGATCCTCACTGAGTCTATCTTGATTTGTCAAACAACACTGCCGAGTATTTTCTTCTTCTGAGTTACCGATTTTCTTGTAAACCTTTGATTGCTTTTTCTATTCTTTGCCGGTTCATTCTCATCCATGTGTTCCTTAAAAGTAGATGCTGCTCATTCCTTGTCCTAGTCTCTGTTTGCATATTCGCATTGAAACCTTCATCTTCCGCTATGGTCTATGTTTGAAGAAACATTTAAATAGATAAGCCCAGTCCAACTCTCTTCTTGGCACTATGTTCTACACCCATATTTTCACTTGAATTTCATACAATATTTCAAACTCAGTATATTAAAATTTGAATGTCATTAATAATTTACAAGTGGAGTAAAATCTGCCCTGAGAAAACAGAAAAGAGATAATGTAGATCTTAGTTGAGTAAATATTTTTGTAGTGGATTCTTGCTTGAGATAAATCTAATGAGAAATCTAGCAAGCCCTCAAATCTGAATTTTTGAGGAAAAAAGAAAGAATTAGATGACTTCCAGTTAAAGTGGCTTCTAGATTTTGTTATTCTTTTCGAATGAAGTTATCAGGGGGTAGAACTGAGAATATACTGCTTTAGGGAAACAGGTAAAAAAAAAAAAAAAAAAAAAAAAAAAAAACCAAACCATTTCTAGATGTTTTTAAATAATCTGTAGTAAGTAAGTGGTTAATGTCAGTTACATTTATTTCACTTTTAGTTATGTCAGATTCTCAAGCTTTTTGGTCTCGGAGTACCTTTACATTTTAACAATTGCTAAATAATCGAAAGAACTGTGTTTAGGTAGCTTATGAACTGTGTTTATGTGTGCTACATTTACTGTACTAGAGATTAAAACAAACAATCTAAATATGTCTAAATAACCACAAGCAAAGTATGTCAATATAAATAATAGAAATATATAATTTTTTAAAAAAGATTTGTAGTTTCCAAAACAAAATTAATGCAAGAAGACTTTAATGTTTTGCCTTTTACAAATCTCTTTGTAAACTAGATTCTTCTTTCTGCCTGAGGATGAATTTTCTTTGCATATGCTGTTCTGGCTGAAGTATGTGAAAAATGTAGCCTGACACAAAAATATACTTTGAAAAGGCACGACATAATATTATTGTAATAGATATTTTTAATAGACATATGTATAGTACACTAAAACTTTGGCAGATGGTGCTACTGTAAACTTTGTTTCGGCATGAAATCTAAATTTGTATTGCTGGACTTCTACAAAAATTTAATTGACTTATAATAAATTTAGTTTTCTGTCTTGAACTAGTACAACAAGTAAAACTGACATATTACAATAACTTTATTTAGTTTTCCTTGAACTTTAAGTGAGTCTTTTATGCAAGCATGATTTTGTAACAGCATAAATTCGTTATTTGGAAAAATAGTAGTTCACTAAGTTTTGTAGACAGATTTTATTATACAATGTCAAAAAATCATAGTGGTTAGCACCATTACAAATCTTTTTAGAAACGTTAGCCAGGTTCACAAAGGTGGAGGTAGCATTCTAAAATTTTAACGAGAATTTATGTATTTAAATTTTTGTTATTGTTTATCCTATAAACAGGCTCACGTCATTTATTTCTAAGAATAAGTGCCAGATATTCAAATATGAATAACCATGGATTTTATCAATCGCCCTTTCAGCGAAGCAATGGTGTTCTATGAAGAAAGTGGCCAATTTAACTTACAACTCTACCACATCGGAGCACCTTTCACTGAGACAAGGTCACAGACCTTCATTTCAGTAGGAAACAAAGTTTTCAACAGTGAGATTTTGCTAAAATTTTTTTTTCTGATTTTTTTAATAAAAATTAGGTAATACTGACTTTTTTTTTTTTTACACTATGAGGTTGTGTAAGTGAAAAATGCAACTGCTACTAGTCTATTTTGGTGCCTTTGCTTTTGAATTTTGTTAAGGCACTAAAGTTTTACCCCTCTTGTTTCCACATCATCAGTGTATTGTAAAAGAAATGAATAATGTCTTAGTATTTTTATAAAGAGATCTTTGACCTTATGAACCTTCTGAAAGGATCTTAGGGATCCTTGGTGATCTGTAGAATACATATGAGAACTTTTGATCAATATAACACTGCATCTCCAGAGACAGGATTACACTGCACAGTAGGAAAGAAATTGTACCTATTATGGTTTCTCTGCCTGAAAATGGTAATCTTAATATTATCATTTTCAAATTAAGGGCTCAATAAGAAAAAGAATAGCATGCTCGAATTAATTTATCTACCAAACATAATAAAAGAGCCATAATGGTTAACATTAGATGCCAGTTTATTTGGACTAAAAGATGCCTAGGTAGCTGGTAAAGCTTTATTTCTGGGTGTGTCCATGAGACTGGCTTATGAGTTGGTTGACTGAATACAGGAGATCTCTGTTGGGTACCATCCAGAGAGCTGGGAGCCCAGACAGAAGAGGAGGGTAGAGGAAAGGCAAATTCTCTCTTTCCTCATAGCTGAGATACCTTTTTTCTGTCCTTGGACATTAGAACTCAAGATTCTTCTGCCTTTGGACACTAGAACTTGTACCTACAGCCCCCATCTCCCTGCCTCCAGTTTGGTGAACTGTTAGCCTTGAACCAAGAGCTATACCACCAGCCTCTCTGCTTCTGAAGTCTGTGGACTTGAATCATCTTTCCTGGTTTTATAGCTTACTGATGGCCTATCATGGAACCTTTCCTCTCTTTAATTGTACAGCAGAGTCTGAGTATTCATTAAAACTGCTCTTTTGTCATTTCAGTGTAACTCAGTACTTCTCATATGTGGTCCCCTTCCATCATTGGTACTCTACAGGTTTTCTTGAGTTTTAATCTGGGCATTGTAATTATCTCAAGTAGTCCTCCCTTGTGGACACATTGTCCAGTCTGTCTTCCATACTGCCACCAGAACTGACACCTGAAATAGGTGGCTAACTGTATTTTTCAGTTTTAAAAAGTTTTGTACAAAGAGTATCAGGAGTCCTCTGTGATTCTCATACTGACTGTTGCAATCTGATGACTCTTATCTCCTGCCTTTCCCACTTTTACCAATCAAAGGCAGCCATCTACTACCAAATGCTTCCATCTTTATGTGGATGCGTGTCATTCCTATTACCTAAAGTCTCCTATTCCTGCCTTGTGACCTATTGCTTTTTTACCCACTTTACTTTGGTTTTCTTTCTTCCTGCTACCTTAATGGACCTGATAAACTCATTTTCATTATATTTTAAATGCGTATGTATTTGTTCGACTATATAACATATACAAAATGATATTCTATAGAAGTGCTTCTTATCTTCATAATTGAACTTAATGAAATATGTATGTTCCACAGTTTAACTTTGCCTCTTCTCTCTCTTCAAATCAACTCAGATGTAAGTAATTTCTTTTCTTTGCACTTACCGAAGTTACACATATGTCAGCTGGACTCTTTCCTTTATCATGGGAAGTGTCTTTTGTTCCCAATAACACCTTTTTTTTTTTTTTTTTTTTTATTGGTACCAGGGATTGAACTCACGACCGCCTGCTTGCAAGGCAGGCCCTTATGCCGCTGAGCTAAATCCCCAGCCCCAAATAACACCTTTTAAATCCTTGCAATTTGTCATCTACTCAAAGTAGACAATGAAGCATATGTTGCCTTAAGAGAGTGATGGTGCTACAAAGTAGCAGGAAAAAGTGATTTTAGTTTCTGGAGCAAAACTTTGATTTACAGTATCTTAGCTATTTGAACTTCTAAATCCTAACTGTTGTAAGAAAAAGACTATAATTTTTATGCCAATAAATCACCCTTGCAGACTTAGATGAATGAGTAATAATATAAAGGCAAATTTTTTTCATTTTATTGGCTGTGGGAGAGAAGGGAGAATCAGAAGAGAGGTAAGGAGAGTTAGCTGCTGGTATTTCCCTAAGAATGTACCATGCTTCCTACTTACATGATTTTATATCTACAGGCAAGTACACTGCAAAAATGTGAACAAAGGGACCATACGCTCAGCTTCCACACAGAACTCCGAGAAGCTGTGATAGCAGAGCTGAGATTAATACACAGAGCGGCTGAGCAAAGCTACCCGGGGCAAGCTTGAGATTGTCTTGTGCTCCGTACAGTGTATACCAGTCAAATGCTTGATTTGTGTCTCGGAGGGGCTCACAAATACCTGAGCACTAGTTTTTGGGATTAAGGTTTAATAGGATTAAAGCAGGGAAAGCAGGAGCTTACGCAGACCACAAATCTGTAAACTAATGAAAATCAGACGTTTTTAAGAAAGACTAATGTACATAGATGACAGCCATTTAATGAATCACCCATTTCTGTTTCCCCCTGCCTGTTCTTCCACTGAAATATCTCTTAGCGGGAAGGTCCAATTTCAGACTTCACTGGGAAGGTAACTTTGAATTGACCAAGAAAACCTTGAATTGGCTGAGGAAATGCAAAAGTTTGACTGAAGTTATTTTAAATTGACTGGAAAAAAATGACTAGGATGCTAAGATAGGGTCTGTTATCTAGCAGAAATGGGAGTCAAAATAGAAATAGGTTGAATTACAGAAGAAGAATCATGTGGATTGAATTTCAAGACTAAGATTTTTATGTGTTGACCTTCAACTGTGGGTCTCATACTAAATGAAACTTTATTTCATCTATTTTTTTGTGGTACTGTCTTAGATCATAAATGTTTGAAAGGCAAATGGTTTTAACTTATTTTAGTGTTACCTATTCCTGCACAGTACTTTTCCCAATGGTTTCCAAAATGTACATGCAATTAGACTCTACCTTCAATTCTGTTATGAATAACAGGCACTGTTTTTGAGTAGTCATACAATAACTTAAAATATAAGTGTTCATTTCCTTTATTTTTTTTAACTGTACTATAAAAGTGAAGAAATGAAAAGTGAAAGAATTAGTAGGATGAAGTAAGGATAACTTTTCATGACACAGAAAATGGGTTGCAATTTTCAGTACTGATATAAAACGACCAGTCTATTGGACTATTAGATTAAAAGTCTACTAGACTATTAGACTTTGTGAGTTAATTAACAGGCACAAGTTAACATTACATACATGAGAATATGAAAGATAATGATAAATATATTTAAGTCCTTTCATGATATAAAAGTGAGTCAGCAAGAAGGCCCTAAGGATATCGCTTTCACTTCTGCTATGTATATTTCAAGATTTTTAAGGTGTAGAAAAAAAAAGAGCCAAATATTGAACCATGCGAGATAGCAAAGAGTGATTATACATACTTGCATTTGCATTTGCTTGATTTTAAAATTGACTTAAAGTAGTTCTTTATTATTTCTGTTAATTTGAAGGTTGTACACAATGAGGAACCCAATATAACTTTAATAAAAGTATTTATTTTCTTTAGGAGTTAAGCCAATTAGGGTTCTATGTTTCTACCTTTTTTAAAGGGAAAAATAAAATAAGTATGTTTAATCATTAAATTAAACATATGCATTATTGGCCATTAACTTCTAGTGTGTTATGGTTTGATAACTAAGTGGTCAACTTAACGCCAGCTGGATTACATCAGCATGTATTGAGAGAAGATGCTCCACCTGAGGAGGGTTGCCAGGATAAATAGGTGGAGAAGAAGAGAGGTGTGGAGAGGGATTGAGGTGTTATGGAGGCATTGTTGGTTCTCCTACGAGTTGCTGTCTGAGCTGTTGGTTCTCCTGGAGAAGCTTTGGTCTTCACATCAAGCATTGCTTCCTGGCTCCAGAGGGGAAGACATGTGCTGCCTGGTCTCCAGGGTGAACTCCTCACGCTGCTTCCTGGCACATACCTGACTGTGCTTGTTGTCGGAGGAGCTCGGGGCCTCCGTGTCGCTGAGGACAGCTGTGGTTCCTTTTAGGACAGCCCCGCTTTTTGTTGTGAGTGTGACTTCTCAGCTCCAGTGTAGAACCCTCATCCTACTAGCACAGCTCCTTCATCCTGCTGGCATGGACTTTCTGGCTTCCACCGCTGACCCTTGGGTCTTCCCGGCGTGAATCCGTAAAAGAGCCTGGCATGAGTCCTTGTGGGCCCTGGACTTCCAGTTGGACTCATGGAGGCATTGTCCTGAGCTCTGGGTTTTTATCTGGACTGATGTGGGAAATTGCCATGGGGTTTAGGCTCTTGACTAAATAATCTATGTCATTGGTGTTGCAGATAGATTTCCTGCATTCTCCTGTGTTAACTTCCGGTGACTATTATAAAAATATTATAAACTCCATGTCCCACCTGAATTGTTCTGTGTACAACCCCTGACTACAACATAGTGCAAAAAATTAATTTGTACTAATAATTGAGCTGTATGCAGAACTTGTGATAGCAACCCTAAATGACTGTTTCTTATGAGCAAAAAACTCCTGATGAATATTTTCTTCTAGGTGGTTTGGATGTGAAGAATGTCTGTATGCTATAAAGACAAATTCAGGCCTACACTCTTTTTTTTTTTTTAACTTTTCTTCTTGTTGGTAAGAGGCTGCTTATACAAGATCATATCAATGCCCAGTAGAATTCATGCATGGCTTATCTCATTAGCATACCTGAAACCAGAATGTCCCTGTCTTGCCAATTTTAGTTAATGCCATACATCCTGTAACACTGCTTTGACACCTTAATGTCATCATTTATTTCATTTCATTCAGTTCTGACAATCAAATGAGACCCATAGATTGGTCTGCTCTCTCCCTTTTCTCCTATATTAGGTGATATTTTTCTGGATAATATCTAATAACCTTTAAGTAGTATCTCCACTAAGACCGATTCAAAATTAATCTTAGTAAAAACAACTCTGGTAAGTCATTTATTTCCTTTCTTGCATTGTCAAAATAGAATCCCATTGCTAGCAAGGCAAATCCTGATTCTCTGGTTTATTTTGAGATAAAATTTTGGTTTTCAGGATTACCCAGGATTACCACCCTCTATTACCCTCACACAACCTCCACCAGAAATTGGTGTTTCCTTAGTAGATGTTTCTGTGTCATTTGCCTCCCATTCATGTGTCCCTTCTCTTCCCTCTGTCAGACTTCTTTTCCCATACTTTCTACTCTAGCACTTATTTCAGTTATTATTTAAATCCATTTTTCTTTGTATTTAAAGTGTATTTTCTGAATTAAATTAATTCAAATGAACATATCTCTCATCCCATGCAAATCTGTTCCCCCTGCTGGATTTCCTCTCACTGTTTGACTACGTTATCCACTCAGTTGCCCAAATTACAAACAGAAGAATCATTCAACACATCTTTTCCCTTTTTCTCTTGTACATACTACCTGCATCTTAAGTTACTTATGCATTTGTCACTTTTATACATTTAGCAGCATCTGTGCAGGGCACAGATTATTTTTTGCATCATTCAGTGCAGAGGGGTTGCATTTCTCACACTCTATAGGCTCATGTAAATTCTTGTGAAAAATTTATGAATAAATGAGTGTAAATTTCAGAAAATGAAATTCCATTGTTAATAATTGCCAAAGCATGCTTGAAGATGTAAAGGAGATATTAGGTTTCATCTTTGCTCAATTTAAAGAAATAGCCATGAATAACCAGATATAGGAGTTAGCCATAACATAGCCAGAAATTTTAGTTATTTTAGTATTGAAAAGTAACATGAATACCCATCACTATGCATAGACTAATAGATTTGAAATTATTACTTCACAAAATTTTAAAACACAACATTCTATACTTCTAAAATGTGACAGTGTAAAATTTTATGGTCTTTTCCTTCTTTTAATAGTACATGATTGTAGTACATAATGATTCCATTTGTGGTGGGGAGTTGGTACATGTACTTAACACCGGTTAATTTTTTTTTTCATCTCTAGCCTTTCAGCCCTCCCTGCTGCTTGCATCTCTTGGTCCCTTTCCCATTTGCAAAAGCTCTATTTTTTTTTTCAATTCTTTTATATTCAATCCTCTTCCCCTCCCGATTCTCCCCTTTCCCTACGTATCTTGTCCCCCTATGGTCACTGATGATAATTGAGTTGGATTTCTCAGTAATTATTATCATTACCTTTCTCATTCCAATATCATTAAAATCTATTTATGTTAAAGAGAAATGATGGAGGAGCACCTCTTTCTGGGATAACAGGAAAATGCTGTACTTCATAAATATTATGCCACAATAGTTGAATTGGAGCTGGAAGTGATAGCACATGCTTGTAATCTCAGTCCTCTCTGAGGCTGAGGAAGGAGGATCTCAAGTTCAAGCCTAGGTTGGGGAACTTACCAAGCAGTGGGATCTTGTCTTAAAAAAATGAAAAAGGCCTGGGATGTACCTTTGTACAAAGAGTCTAGTTCAAGTTCCAGTGCTGCAACCAAAACAAAATAAAACAAATGATTGAACTGGGCAGTACTTTCTCTGTGACTCCCTCGTTACAAATGAGAAATATGCGAGTGATTTCCTCATTTGTTAAAGGGAAAATCTAATTCTGAAGCTTTTATGGGGAAAAATTGTGTCAAATCCTAATTGTGTACATTAATTAATTAATCCACAAATTCTCTGATGAAAATACTATAATCACTGCTTTATCAATGTGAAAGTGATGCATAAGAAGTTAATAAGCTTTCCCTCGGCCATATTGCATGATGGTGGATTCCATCCATGATCTGCGTCCAGCCCAGGCACGTTACCACTCAGTCACACCATCTATAACTACTTTTTTTTTCTTCACAAGAAGTGTGGATTTTATTACTAAGGCAAACAAAAGTCATATTAAAAATTAGAAGCAAGTGGAGGAAATAGTTACAGTAGCAATTTAGAAATATTAATCTACAATATCAAAATTCACATGTAAATCACAAATATTTCAGGGGAACAAAACCATTTAGGAGTTTCTTAGATTGGATATATTGTGCATCAGAGCTATTTTTTCTATTAGGTTTCTTTTATGTAATTACTGAGGCATCGACCAATGATTGTCTTTTTTTATTATTTAAAGGAAAAAAAAAACCAAAACAGTATAAGGGTACAAGTAATGAAGAATTTATAAAAACAGTAAGAAATCACTAGTTAATAGATTACATATTGCCATCTTAGAAATAGTTGTTCAAGTTACAGGATTAAAGCATACAAAGTGGACATTCAAACAATGAGACTGCAAACAGTTGTGTTCAATGATCCAACAAAAACTTAGTGATATGGTCACCTATCTTAACACACCTAAACACACTTGCTGTTGTATCCTTTAGAGCACTTTTTTTTCCTCTCTTTTTTGCTACTTCTGTTTTAGATCCATGTTGGATTGTGCTCAAGAGGAGAGGCCCAGAGCAACCTGGTAGTAACTGGGTAGAAGAAACTAAACAGTAGCTTGGAAGAAGCATTAGACATCTTCTAAAGCAGTCTGTTCTTGTCATCCCACGAGGCAGTGTCCACCTTCATCGTCACCCTTCCCTCAGCTGGACAGCTGGTCTAGCTGCTCCTGGGCTCTCCTTGTTTCATTTGGGACTTCTTTCATGCTGTTTTGCATACTCCTTAAATCCATGTAACCGTAGAGGTTAAAGTTCTGAAACGGACAATAGTATTTAGAATGACTTCTTATTTAGGTCATGTTGATAAAATAGCTTATGATTTTATAAAAAGTAATGCTTTTCCTTCATTTAAACTTTTCCCTGGGGAAGCATTCAAAATATTTTCTAAGACACAGACATTAACTAGTCAGAACAAATGCCTGCATGCCTAGTAATGAAGAACAACTGAAAATAATTGTTTCAAGTATATGCATGTGTCTTTGTTGATTATCAGCCCTTCCTGTAGTTCATGTAGTTCTTTTGACATTGTTGGTCTTTAATTAATTAATATATTTAGTGAATATTCATTGGTGATCTAAGCTAAATATAATTCTTGCTTTGCTGGAGCTTTGGTCGTTGGGCTCAGTGCTTGGATCTGTACTTTTGTGTCTCTGAGTGGGCAGCTGTACCTAGCGCTGGTCTGTGTTTTAGGGGGTCAGCCCCACATCCTCTGGGCCCTTTTTATCTGCTGATCTGTACCAAGTTCTCTCTGTGTCAGTGTCTGTGTCTGTGTCTGTGTCTGTGTCTGTGTCTGTGTCTGTGTCTGTGTCTGTGTCTCTGTCTCTGTCTCTGTCTCTGTCTCTCTCTGTCTTTCTCTCTCTCTCTCTCTCTCTCTCTCTCTCTCTCTCTCTCTCTCTCTTTCTCTCTCTCTCTTTCTCTTTCCCCTTATGTCATGCTGGCTCTCACTTTCTCATGCTAAGTTTTGCTACCATGCCCTCCTGCCCATTACCACTCTCCAATGCACTGCTAAACACATATGCGGGGTAAGGCTGGGAGCTCTCTTTAACCTCAGGTCAAGTTATGTTCCCCTGTTATGATTTGTTAAACAATCATGTGTCTGTGATGATATTATGTTTGCATGTAATAATAAAATTAGTTTTTGTTCACTTAGCTAATTATTCTGTTGAGTATAGTTATCCCTGAATGTATTTTGAGGAATTGGTTCTAGAAACCCACATGGCTATCAAAATTTGTGGGTGCTGAAGTCCTCTATGTAAAATTGCATCACATTTCCATATACTCACACATAACCATCTTTAGACTTTAAATCATCTCTAGATTGCTTGTAATACACAGTGCAGTGTAAATGCCAGTTATACTGTATTGTCTAGAAAATAATGGCAAGAAAAATATCTATATATGTTATGTGTGGATTCAATTTTTTCTAAATTTTTTTTTTTTTTAGACCAGGGGTCAAAATCTTGCACTTGCCAGACAGGCACTTATGCCACAGAGTTAAATCTCCAGCCTGTCTAAATATTTTTGATTCATGGTTAACTGAACCCATGACTGTAGAACCCAGCAATATGGAAGGTAGACTGTGTTCTCTATGGCTCAGAATTGAAAAGAAATTGAGTACCAATTCCTTAAAAATTTCATGCTATAATTCAAGGCTTAATATTTTGGGGTTAATGAATTTGCTTATTTTCAGGTCATATTTCTGGACACTTATCTCTGTATTTTTATCTTCTACTCCGTTACTGCTCAATGCATTATAATTTGACATTTACTCTTATTGAAATAGTTTTCATTAATATTATCAATGAGTTTTTAATTGAAAATTTGAAAGCTAATATTTCAGGCCTCAAATGAAAGGACTCGATCTAAATTACAGAAATTTAAAGTTTTTGTGCCATTATTCATGGTACCTTAAACTTATGCCTCAATCTATTTTCATTGGTTTAAAATCTTTTTCCTTCTTCATATATTATATTATTTCATTCTCCTTCCTTACCAATCAAATGAACTAGTTTATACTTCACAGGAAAAATAACAAAAGCCATTATATAGATGCCAGATGGATTGTTTTGTAGCC